GCACGGTGGTCTCAAGCCTGTCCACCTTAACGCTGGCAGTCTGTCTCTGAAAGAGGCAAGAGGAGAAGAGTTAGAACTATCCACTGTTTCTAAGCACCTGCTTCTTTCTGCCAGTATGGCTGTCTCACGAAGAACACAGCATCTCGACATTCAGGGCTCTCTTTGCTTAGCCTTGGCTCAGGCTAGCCTTTGGCTGTGCTTGTATTATAGCCCATTCCTGGCACTCCTCCATTCTTCTCTGTTTTATCCTCCTGGGGTGGTCTCTGCTGTTTCTGCTGTTCCCACAGTGGGCGTGGAGGACATCAGTAGGATGCTGTTCAGGTGAGTTATGTCCCATGAGGGACACTGCAAACCTCTGCTCTAACCTTGTTCTCTCATTCACACACATGCAGTGCACCTCTGTGCTGACAAGATGGCAAGCAGTAAGAGCATTGCTGTAAAAACAGAATATTTACCCCTGGCCATGCTCACTGCCACAGTGATGAGTACTCCTGCAGTCTGGTCCTCACTGGGCGCAGAATGAATTCTTGCCGATGGTTGCCACACTTAACTTCCAGCCCATAGCATGTTTGACAAACTTGTACTCACCTCCCTCTTTCTCTCCCTGCTACAACTCAGCACTGTTGCTCCCTCTTCTTAATCAGTAAGTTTTGTTTCTCTTTTTCATGTCCAGCACAACCTTCCCCTGGAAGGAAAGAAGCGTTGTTGTAAAATAGTCCCTTGGTATTGGGAGGGTGTTATATTTTAGATGTCAAGGGAAGGGCTTGGGGCCTCTCGATTGTGCTTAATATAGTATGAAGTTCATCCAGCACTTCTGCCTTGAGGGACACGTAAAAAAATAACTATTTTCCAAATGGCAGTCCTAGTCAACATGTTAATTATGAAATGGAGTTTTCGGAACAGCACATGGACTAAGGCATGAGTCCTTGGCTTCTAAACATCGACTTAGAGTCATTTAAACTCTCACCAACAAGCTTGTCATTGGTGTGGGGTTAGCTCCTGGGAGTTCCAGGGTACCACAGATGGGCCAGGTCTCACAATGGAGATGTTTTATGAGATCATCAAAGCGGCTGAAAGACAATGCAGCTCCCTCTGTCTCCAAGAACAGAACTTGACAGTAACATCTCAGAACAGATGTTTCCACAGCCTCCACATGTTTTTATTTGGTGGCACAAAAGACTGTGTTATTCATGAAATGGTCTGTTAAAGGATTAGTTCCCCTGTGTGGGGGTCGTGGGAATATGTGTAATATAAATTGATTTTACTTTTGGCAGGAAACCGGCCCTTAACTCATCCAGTCTGCAAGGTTGGGCTCTAACAAAGTTCCAATTTTAAGGCCACAGAGTGACAGAGGATGTAGATCAATGACATAGCCTAGCATCTTCCCTAGAGTGTGTCAGACTAACTAGTCTGACACCATCATATCATTTATAAAACAGTAGAAGCCAAGCAAAAACTCCACAAGTCTGGCTGTCTAAAGCATGGGCAGAAGGTGGGAGCATCCTGCGGCTGGCTTTTTATGTCATCATCCCAGGACAAGTTCACCCATTTCGAGCCAAACTGCCATTCCGAGATATTGGCAGTGTAGTACATGTTACAGGCTCTCCCGAGACCTTGGTGTGACTATTCAGTGATGTAGAATTAGAGGGATGGCCATTTGTGATGTCTTGTTTTGTGACTTACCCTGGTCTGTACTTTCTACCCTGTCCAGCAGGACAGGCGTCGGCCAACCCGAGGGCCACCTCTGACCGTCATCTGCTGTTGTAAGTGTGGTCTAATGCTCTCTTTCAATGTAAAGTTTCTATGACTCCTTTTGCACTCTCTTGCCAGAGACCACTTAGCTAGTGAGACCTAAAACATTTACAGAAAAGTGTACCAACCCTGCCGTAGGAGTCACATCCATGCTACGACTCAGCCCATGAAAACACGTGGTTGTGATACTCAGGTGACCGAGGCGAAAGGGCCACAGGGCCAGCCTAGGCTACACAGCAAGATGTGTCTCAAAAATAAGATTCGAGAAGAAAAGAAGGCATGTCAGGTTTTAGTAATCTAGATTTGGAAGTCATCCAGAGACTCTAAGAACTATAAACAATTGGTGTTAGGTAGCCTATCACAGGAGAGTAGTTGGAATATACAGAGACAAGCATGAAAGTCAGAATGCTACACTGAGATCTGGAAAGCATTCTAAAATGAAAGCGGTCTTTTTCTGATGTGTAGAATGTTCAGGTGATAAAAGCTGAGTAGCATTTGGCTGCTGCTCTATTTGTTTCTTATCCCTCACCTGTGTGTGGTGGGTCTCAGAACTCCACACGTGTGCACTTTTGACCTCCCTGAACAATGAGCTGACAAGCACAGGCAAGGCTCTGATGCTTAAATGCTAAGTTATACTTGAGAAGATCAATCATACGAAATCATAGGCACCATAGAAGAATGACTCCAGAGTGCCCGAAGAACAAGAGCCTTGGTGGGAGAGGAATGGATGGGAGGAAGTTGTATGAACACCGAGAGCTAGATGTGTGGAGAGAAATGGATGGGAGGAATTGTATGACAACCGAGAGCTAGGTGTGTAGAGAGAAATGGATGGGAGGAATTGTATGAAAACCGAGAGCTAGATGTGTGGCTCGGCAGAGGAGCTCATGCCTGGCCTGCACACACACTAGATCCAGTTCCCAAAACCTTCAGGAAGGAAGAAAGGACTGAGGATAGTGTTCTACAGAGAGCACGCGCCTAGCACAGGACCTGGGATTAATTCCCAGAAACACAAATACACAAATCTTATACAAAACACAGTATCAGGTATCATGGTAACCAGGGAGGGAAGAAGGAAGAAGGAAGGAGGGAGGGAGGGAGGGAGGGAGGGAGGGAGGGAAGGAGGGAATAAGGAAATAAGGAAATACTAATTGTAAGCCTTGTTATTTCATGAACAAGATATGGTCTACTCTGTCAAGATATGAAACATATATTGGATTTAAGAGATTTAGTGCAAGCACTAGGGAGATGGCTCAATTGGTGAAGTGCTTAAAGGACCTGAATTCAATCCCAGAACCCACATAAAAAGACTGGATAAAATGGGGCGTGCTTATAATCCCAGTGCTGGGAGGCAGAGACAAGGGCTTGCTGGGAGCCCAAGCCCCAGGTTACTATGAGAATTCCTGTGTCGAATAAGGTAGAGGGCACCAGAAGACACCTGAGGTTGTCTTCTGGCCTACACACACACACCATGAACATGTATCACAAAAGGAACAGGAAATAACTTTGATTTTATTCAGTCCGTCTGCTGACTTAAACCAAATCTACTGTTAAAATTGATTTCACCTTTTCGCTTTTTGTTAGTGTGGCTACTAGAAAAATCCACGTAACTCAGTTTGAGCAGCTGCTAGCCACTTAGTGAGTGTTTAGGATGCATACAAGTCCCACCTCGGCTTAGGAAAAGCTTCCTAAAACACTGACCACAAATTAAACTCGAATGATAGACTTGAGCAGGTGACATTTCAGACTTTCATGAAACTGTTTTCTTGATAGATAGCTTGAATCACCTTCAGCTTCCAAATCTGTAATTTCTTTTTCATTTAATAAATTAATAAATTACAAAACATAAATCACCACTTCAGGTAGCTGAGAATGTTGGCAAGTACCTGAAGTCTCTGAAGTCTCTGTCAGATATTCTCTAGCTCGCAGGCAAGTGAATATATATAATGTGTGTGTGTGTGTGTGTGTGTGTGTGTATATATATATATATATAATGTGTATATCTATATATGTATATATATATACACACACACACACATATATATATATTCTAACTCCCCCGACAACTGCTTTGGTCCCGTCACTCATCCCGTAACACAGAGAGATTGTCTAACTCAGCTGGAGTGTATCAAATCTATTTCTTGGCTAGGCTGGCTCCTGAAAAGTAATATTTGAGCTTGTGTAGAGCATCCAAGGGATGTGTTTTAAGTAGGCCTCTCTCCTTTATAGCTTTTGAACTAATTCCCTCTACATCAGAGCCATTGTTCCCACTGTCTTCACTGTCTCTCTGCCTTCCCACCAAGAGCTTTGGTATCTTTCCCAACCTAAAGGTGGATGAGCAGGTGTTGGGGTCCCCCTTGCATATCTCCTGAGTCCTTCCTCCTGCCTCACTTCTCATAGGCACCGGCGGTTTCACAGCGGTGGCAGAATCTAAGACTAAGTCTCTTCCCGTTTCGTGCCCATATCCCTGACCTTGCCTTGTGCTCTCTGGCTTCCCTTTAATTCTCAGCCGGGAACCTCCAGTGTTGATTTCATGCTGCTCAGCACACACCGCACTGTGCGTCCTCAGTGGGCACTTGACATCTTCTTTCTTTAAACCTCCATTACTCTCTTCCACCTCGCTTTCAGCTGATACCTTCTCTCCAACTCTAACTGGAAACCTTGAATCAGGAAAGGGAGCTAAGTCCAGGTCACACTGCTGCCCCTGCTGTATACAGCTGAAGGTGGGTTGCCCATGGCTTGTCTGGGGCAACTCCTCCGTCTGGTGTCAGATGCTGTCTCTGAGCCCTGATTTTATTCTATCCTAAATAATAACTTCAAAAGATTTGCTCTGCCATGGTACAGGGCCTCAGTTTTAGAAAGTAATATCAATAGTTATTAAAACGAAATGGCAAGAAAATTTAGTGCTGAAAACAAACCGAGCCACTGTTTATAGCAGACTATGTTTTCCCTTGGAGGTCTAAAGACACGCAAGCATCTATCCACTATAATTTTAGAGCCCTGATAATGAACCCTGAATCTGATCAGAAAAAGATGAAATGCAATTTGTTCTCATTTTCACACTGATTTTTGAAAATTGTATAGAATCTAGTTTAACCAAACCTTCAGGGGTGATCGTCCTTTTTTAACATGGTAGTGAATAGCAATCTACAACAGAGAAGAGCTGCCGTGAAGGAAGAGGATGTTGTCGCCACGGTGACAGCTATCCAGCATAAACATCTTACTTCTCTTCTGCTTGTCGTGTGTTTTAGGACAATTCAAGCTGCTGGAACAAGACCGGGACATAAAGGAGCCGGTGCAATATTTCAACAGCGTGGAGGAGGTGGCCAAAGCATTTCCTGAACGTGTGTACGTCATGGAGGAAATCACATTCAACGTGAAGGTAGCTCTGAAGAAACAGATGTTTACCCCTCACTGAGCCGCTGTCACATTCAAGTGTGTGATATACGAGGTGTGCACATCTGTGCCTCCTAGAAACATTCCATCCTCTCAGTGAGTGAATGTTAGCATCTGAAACGCTGCAGGTGGTAGAGACGACCCCATGCCTATCCACACACTGTATTTATCACCACAGTCTTTTATTCGATCTTAAAATTGTTGATTTCAGAAGTAACATTGCTGTATCTATTTTTCTCATGCCTGAGACAAATATCAACAAAAAGCAATTTAAAGAAAGATAATTTTTTTTGGCTCACAGCTTTGAGGGGACAGTCCCATCAGTGAGGGGACACCGTGGCAGCAGGAAGGAATTCAAGGCCCTGGCCTCACTACGTCACAGTCAGGATGCAGAGCAAAGAGTTCCCATGCTCAGCTTGCTTTCTTCTTTTCCTGCAGTCTGGGATTCCAGCCCACGGATTAGCCAGTTAATCCGACTTAGAAACTCCCTCACAGACAAGCATGGAGTCTTGTCTCCTGTCGTGTTCATAGTCAATACTGAGCATCACAATTCCTAAGCAAATAAAAGATGCTTTTATCTTGAACTTCATCCTCCCATCTCCAACAGCTGTTTCACCAGGGCCTCTGCTAAGTTGGGTTTTCCACTCTTAGAAGCAAAAGGCCTATGATGAACCAAATATCATCATTTCGTTTTTTAAAAAGAAATCAAGGAGGGACGAGAGAGCTCACAGGCACACGCCCAGTGCCAGCACTGAGGTCAGCACACATCCCCTCCATTCTCTGTGGACTCTCTCGGTGTACAGAGAATCTGAGACAGCCCAGTGCTGCCTGTTGTTCTCGAAGGGACGGTGCGCTTCCATATATGGGCAAGCTCCTCTGACCAGACTGGCCAGGGGAACAGGGCCCTCGCATGGGTTCCAACTGTACTGTTCACACGCCTGCTTCATTTTGTCATCGACACCCACAGTCACCCTCAAACACCTTCAGGTGTCTATGTTGAAAGGATTTCCTGTTTACCCTCTTTTACATAGGAAGTCAACTTAGTCGGATTCTATGAGCAGGTCAAATGTTAGGAGTCAGCATACCTGTTTCTTAGAACAACAGGCTACATGAGGTATTGGCCCAAGACGGCATTCGTGCCTCTGGGTTAGTCGCCCCGCCTACACTCCTCAGGGAACACAGGACCAGGTGGTTCCCAAACATGTGCCCATGACGATGGCAAAGGCACGCCATTCTTCCCCGCTTCTGAAGGACAGTCACTATGGTCTGCTTTCTATAGTTTTATTGTTCGACTTAGGGAGATTTTATGTTATGTAAAATCTTCTACTGAATGTTTTACTTATATGCAAAGGTCTGGTTTTTCCTCCAGTGCCCCGATGTTATCAGTAGAGCAAACCTTCATTTCCACGTGCATGAGAGCATATTCTTTGTTTTTAAACTTACTAAGTTCCATTAATTCATAAAATATTGAATCTAGGTTTTTAAAGTCAAAACCTTCCCCTTAAAACTTTTATTTAAAATTAGCTAAATGAAAAAAATAAAAGTCAAGCTAATACTTTTAAATTCTTTTCTAAAATTAATTTATCTCCTAGCTGGTGACAAGTCAGGCATAAAATCTTTTATGGATTTGAAGATTAACATTCTATTTTTGGTTACATATTGCTCATGTAAAATTTTCTGAGACATGGTCTCATTGTGTAGCCCTAATTAGTCTAGAACTCACTATGTAGTTCAAGCTAGCCTTGAACTCACAGAGATCCTCCTGCCTGGGATTTAATGCATACACCACCATACCCTGCCTCATGTACAGTACAGGCTGGGCATATGGCTAAGTCAGTAATATGCTTGCTGTGTAGGCAGAATCTGAGTTTGATCCCCAGCATCCATATAAAAGCTTAACCTGGCCTTGCATGCCCGTAATTCCAGTGCTGGAGAGGCAGGCAGTAGGATTTCTGCATTCACTGGCCAGCCTACCTAGTCACTGGGTAACTTCCATGTTCAGTGAGAGATCCTGGCTTAAACAAGGTAGAGAGTGATAGAGAAAGATAGTCAATGTGGACCTCTTACACACATACACACACATATAAGTAAACATAAACACACACAACACAACAAAAAGATAGGTATGTGTAATAGAGATGCCACTTACAAGTTTGAGGGCACAGATTAGTTTAGGAAATGTGAGCTCAGAACACCCAGAGCCAAGTGGGTTTTGATTGAGTTCCAAGCTGTGCAGACATCAGTATTTGATAACTTACAGAGTTGTTTAGTACTTACAGAGTTTTAAGAGCCATCAGTCAAGTTTGCATTCTTCTGTTCAAAGAACCATTGGTAGAAAAATTTGGGGAAATTTGTGTAATGAAGTACAGAACTCCGTGTGCTTAGTAAATGTGTACCCGGGCAGGTGAATGAACTGGGACACTTGCAGGAATGTTGGGTGCTGCTGGCACTGAAGTCCAGCGCTGGGAAGCATGGCCTCTAACAACAGTTTACGAGATATTGGTGTTGGGTACAGACGTGGGCGGGACAGAATGCCATGTTTGGTCATTGCATCCCCTGGAGAAAGAACAAAATGAAAAATAGCACTATATAGACTCAGGTGGAAACTGTTTCCCAAGAGGCAGAATTTGGGGGCAGGGTTGTTTTTCAATGAATTTAAACCTACATAGAAAAAATGTCACCCTTTATTTTCCAATTCAGAAGTGGCATAGGTAGTAGGACGATGGCTCAGTGGCTAAAGCACTTGCCAGAGTTCAGATCACTAGAACCTCCATAAATGCTAGGAGGGCTTAGTAGCCCACCTGTGGTTCTAGCCTCAGAAGGCAGAGGCAGTTGATCCCTGGCAAGCTGATTGTCAAGACTGGTCATATCAGTGAGCTCTGTGTTTGACTGAGAGTTCCTGGCTCAGTGAACAGGTAGAAGGATGGTCATGGATGATTCTTAACATCAAACTCAGGCCTCCACATGCACATATGCGTTCATGTGTGTGCTTGCATTCACATACATGAAATAGAAAAGGAATGGGATGAACTAGGCCAATAAGATACACTATTGAAATTTTTTGTAGTTATGAATTCATGAGCTGTCTTTATAATTGTCCAAAGACATACATATTTACATACATAAATAAATATGCATTTTATAAAGCCCAAAGTGGAAATTAATTGTAATAATTTGAAGTAATAACAAAAATAGCAACTCAGGGTTGGAAATATATCTCAGTAGTAGAGTCTTGCCTAGCATGTGTTAGACCCTAAATTTACTCCTCAACACTACAAAAATAATAAATCATAAGGACAGCAACCTTAGTTCTGTCTTCTGTCTAAGACTATAGTAAAATTTTAATTAAGTATAGTGGATAGTATCATATCTATCGACACTTACTTAGAATGAACTGTCCGTTTCATTATATGCGCAATACTGGGTTTCAGATGCAGCCCTGGCCGGTCTCGAGTTCACAGCACTCCTCCTCCCCGGCTGCCTGGGACTGGCACCACAGGTGTGCTGCCACACTCACCAAGCCGTTCTCCTAGCCTAACATTAACAAGGAAAACTTGTCTATAAAAGGTATCTTGGTACATTTCAAATCATTGACCTGATTGCCCCATCATTCGTGAACTGCACAAAATGAGTTCCTAACTGGTTAACTGGTTAACCGGCAAATGTATTTTGAACTCCTACTGTCTGTCCAGGACTGTTCTCAGTGAGTATGCAGATGCCCGTCTTCAGGGACACAGCCTAGTAGGAGAGGAAGACAATAAATAAATGTTTATCCTAACTCCAAGAGGAAATGTGGTATATAATTGCTCCACGGCTTTCAAACTTGGAGACAGGTTGAAGTTGGGGTGTACGTGTATAGCCCCTCACCTTTAGAGGATATTTGAAACTCTAAGTCGAGTTTCACTGAGCTGCAATAACTGCTCTCATTGGCGGGTGATTTTGTTCCTGGGCACATTGGCAGTGTCTCTAGGTAACTTTGTCATGATCATGGGATGGAGGAGGTTCCTGGTCCCCAGTCAGTGTGTGGGGCCGGGGTGCTCCTGAGTGCAAAGCAATGAAGAGCTGTCTATTCCAAAACAGCTAAGAAAACACAACCCAGAGAGCAGAGGGCAGAGGGCTCAGGTCTAGGGCCTGAAGCACCGCAGCATCCAGAGAGTAAGGTGAGGAAAAAGAACTGAGCTCCAAATGAGGTCAGTGCCAGAAGGGGACTTGCAGTATCCTCAAAGCCCAGTTTCCAGGACAAATGACAACCGAACCATACAAAACCTGACATGGTTGTTCATGCCTTTCATCCCAGCTCAGGAGAGGTGGAGGCAGAATAATCAGAAGTTCGAGATTATGCTCAGTTGCATAGTAGTTCAAGGTCAGCCTAGGCTACTTGAGACCCTGTCCTGAAAACAAAGAACCAAAGTATTCCATGTTTTTAGAACAGCGTTCCCCCACCTTCCTTCATCACATTTTCCCTTATCCTTCAGTTTTTGGTTTCCATGATGAAAATTTTTATTATTATTTGTAGTATATATGTGTGTGCACGTACCCAAGGAGACCAGAAATGGGAGTCTAACCCTCGGGAGCCAGAGTTACAAGAGGTCGTAAGCTGGTAGTGGTGGGTTCTGAGAACCAAGGCCAGGTCCTCTGGAAAGCACCAAGGGCTCTGAATGGCCAAGCCATCCATCTCTCTAGCCTCTCTGCTGTCTTTCAAAACAGCCACACCGGCTGCTAGACAGATGGCTTAGCACTAAGAGTGCTTACTGCTTCAAGGAGGACCCAAGTTCAGTTCTAATCAACCACACCCAGCAGCTCAGAGCTCCTGAACTCTAGCTCCAACATCAAGCATCCTCTCCTGGCCTCTGTGGGCTTCCGCCTTCACACACACACACACACACACACACACACACACACACTGGCCTCTATGGGCTTCTGCCTTCACACACACACACACAGACACAGAGGCCTCTGTGGGCTTCCGCCTTCACACACACACAC